AAATCAATAAAAACATATTTAAAAAATAAAAAGTCTAACTCTGTTTTATCTGTCCAGGAGTCAATGATACAGAAGGAGTGGCATGAATTGTGCAAAAATTGCACATGTTCACGAAAAAAAAAAGGGGGGACTTCTAAACTAGACACTAAGCTGAACTTTCTGATTTTAAGAAAGAAAAGACTCCATAAGGTATTGTTTTAAGCTCTTAAATTCTCTTCCTTTACTAAGTCATTCGAGGCAAGTGGGAAATGGATGAGTTTCCCTCTGACCTTCATACCCTCTAAAGTTTCAAAGGCCTAGGCTAACACAGGTGCCTTCGACAGGAATTTGAAGAGCCGGCTTGCTGACTTTGAAGGCACATGATGTTGGACAACCTCCGAAAGGTACGAATGTTGCCAGCCAGCCTTCAAAAACCACTTAGACATTTTTTTTGTTAACGTAGATTCTACTACAGCTCAACTCCTAACATTCAGAAGAGACTACAGAAAAGCAACGTGCTCAGCATTGCTAACCCCAGAGCTTCGTCAAGGAGTGTGCGGCGCAGAAGAGCTCCTGAAGTGGCAGCACCTTCCTGAAGACTCGGGCTCACTTTGCCATTTTGGGAAATGAGTCCAGGTTCTAAGCTTTTCTGAAAGGTTCTCGTTTTTTTCAAGTGTGCAATCTTCCAATTCACTGTTTATCTAACAAACATTTTGGTATAAGAGAAAAACTTTTAATTAATTCATATATCTAAAAATGTGCTGATAATTTAAAAGAATCAAGAGAAAAGCAAAATAATATGAACTGGGCTTGAAACACCCTAAACAGGAATTCTGGTGTAGCCAACATTCAAAGAAACATTCTAACACACAAGTCAATAAAGTTACATGAATATTTTTGAAAAGGCTGAATAACTGCTAGAAACTACTGATATCCAGGATGTCCCCAAAATGTATATACACAATTTGAATAATTATAAAGGCAGTATTTATTAAAATACATTTCATTTTCAAAGTTGAACTATCAGCTGTTAAAGTGTATGTACATTTTTGGGGATACCCTGTATATTCTTATGTCATAAATTTTATAAGTTTATAAAATCATGCAATTTTATTTTCAAATGTTGGATTCTGATGGTACCCTATTGTGATAAATAGCTAATTGTGATTTAAAAAAATCTCAAACAACTATGAGCTAAAAAAACCTTTTCTAATTCTCACAATGAAACTGAATAACCAGGAAATGTCAATACCTTCAAGCTTATTAAACATAAACCTGAGATATAAATGAGGCTCTTTAGCACAACACAGCCTGGTTTACACTGGACTGTGACAGGTGGAGATTTCCAAAGTCGCTCCTTACTTTTGAGAGGTGAGTGTTACACTTGCTGCTTCCTATTCTCTGATCAAGGGAGGCTTTAAGTACCGTACTTGAAAGTTGTTCCTGGTGATGTTTTAACAACTACCCATAACTCCACGAGGACAGCTGCAGAGTTATTTTTAAACTGAACTGAATAGTTTAGAGTGAGTGAGCAGAGAAGGTGTGAACTGAAATGTATTAAGTTACATGGAAAGGACCGTTAGAGATTCAGTGATTTTGCACACACTTTCAGAATGGCCAACGTTTAAAGTAGCTACCACCACGTCCTCCTCTCCCAACTGATCAACACAAGAGTACTGAGAAATACTTAGTTTGCTACCACATTTAATACAGTCACTACAAAGGATTTCCTGCCATGCCCAGGCCATAAAGCTTTCTTATTCTGTGTGTGTTTCCCTCTGAAATTCCACAAGGAGGCTGTAGAGAGTACCAGGACCTACTCAGGAAATGTAAGTTTCACCCAAATGTGTATGCAATCGCTTCACCTTTAAAAGCTCAATCAAAATTACAAACAGAATAAAACTTTCATTAGACCTAACTGGTGTATAACTATGGTTTAAGCAGCAGTGTCTTCACAAATACTGTCCCAAATTCCAGTTCAATGAACAGTCAACTTTTCCCACTTTCTGGTATTTTCCTCCACCACTTTTTTCTTCAATCCTCACACTCAATTACAGTATCTGACCCATCGCATGACTTTACCAGATGAAAATGGGCTGTGGTTCTATAAGAATAGAGCGACAAACACTGCATGAGTGTTTGAGGTTAAGGCTGAGCTACCAAACTGACATTCTAAACTTCACTGGCAGCTGATTAAACAACCGTATCCCACTCCACCACGCAAACTGAAGTGAAGGTTGGGGGATGCAGGCCAATACACATTCCAGGCTCAGCACTGAGTTTCCCTTTGTTTTATGAGTTTGAGTTAGTTATGCTTAAAAATAGTCAACTGCATTTTTTTTTTCTTAAATTAAGCCAAATTACAAAGACACTCCTTCCCACACCCAAGAATGTGCACGCAAGGACATTTTCTACAATAAGGCTGGTTTGTTTGAATTTATTTTCAACGTGATGTTTAAACAGCACAGCTTCAGAGTGCAAATAGGGGAGGATTCTTTGTCTAAATCATTCAGGGATTTTGTTCTCCTGATGAACAAAGAAGCCTGGGTGTTCCTGTTTTAGAACTAGGTTTACACAATAAAGATACTGTCATAGAAGTGACAGGATGAAAGGGGAGAGGAAGAAGATACCGGGCATTCTTTCTGAGGTCCTGGGGACCGTCTTTGTTCACGTCTCTTCGCAAGCCTGTAGCCAGTGGTGCAGGGGATAGACGCTCACTGGGCCCCGGATGTCTACAGAACAGCCTGACGTTCCAGGGAGAGGAAGGCAAGGGACAAGGTCGCTGCATGCTGCTGGCTGATTGCCGAGGCCATGTCCTAACAACTAACCCCCAGCAGGTGCAGTCCCCTCAGTCAGAAGCAGGTCTGAATGCCCAGACGCTGGTGCCTCACTGACTGTACACGTCGGTGCGGTAGAGGTGTGTGCATACGCAGGCACAAACGGGGAAGCCAGCTAAGCAGTGGGTGGGGCAGAGTTGGAAAGGGCTTGCCTGGACTTTGACTATACAGAAAAATTGCCTCACTGACTTCAGAGTGACCCCAACCGCCAGAATCTGTGAGCAGCAGCCAAGTGAGTCCTGTTTCTTCTCCCCAACATCTTACTGGGGTTCCCTAGATAGAGGGCCTGGATAGAGGCTAAGATTCCCATGAAATTCTCCTAGAAAATCAATACCTTAGGAGCACATAGCTAAGATTAATGCCCCCACTGCCCGGACGACCTAAAGTCCCCATAAGAGATCTGAAGATGAGGCTGGCGTTTCCAGTTAGCCTAGACCTCCCTTGGAGAGCCAATCCTCCCTAATTCTGGTCACAAGATACTATTGAGGTATCTGCACTATCCCTGCATGTATTTATGGCATCATCCTATCCAAGAATGCCTAAGAATTTTGTTGTGTGTGTGTTTTTTTTTAGGAAAATCTAACATGCTATTAGGAGTCCAATAAACAATAAATTATAACCACAGGCCTTTTTTTGCAATTCAATACAGTACATGTTAGAATTAGCTGTTTGCGTGTCTGTCCTGCTCTTTCAACCAACTGAAGGCTCCAAAAGAGTGGAAACTGAATCTCACTTTCCTCTGTACTGAGCAGAGCAGATACTTCAAAATGTTTGCTCCATCCTCCCATTTCTTGTGTATGCTCTTTATCTGGATTTGGAGGGCAGAGTCAGTGGGCATCCATCATTCCAGGTGGATTTGTGGGATATCATATCCTCATTTTTAACAAACAAGAGGAGCTCTGTGGCAGAGATGGCTTAATGACAAAGAGGTGCATTGGTAAGGTGTGTGTGGGGGGGTCATCTTGAGGCTTTCATTCAGTGTGCACATGCACCTCCATCTCCGTGTGTGCACGCGTGTGACTTTGTACACACACAATATTCATCTTGGTTCTCCTTTCTGTCATATATTATTCCTACTTGTCTTCTCTGATTTAGTTGGTTTAGTTTGACTACAGATTTTCATATTCACCAACCAATCTGAGAGTATTTCCAAGTATGTGTCTTCAACGAGCATTGTGACTTCTGAATAGTCAGTGGTACAGGTGCAGCCCACCTTTCCACTGGGTAAATGCACAACGAGATGGACTGATAAGGCCTTTGGGTACATGGAGCCAATTCAGATAGGAGGGGAAGGGGGCTTAGGTTCAACAAAGAAAGTTTATGTCTAGAGAGTAATGCCTACTGGAACTATATACTACTGGTTGTGGCTTGTGGTTTAATAAAATTCTAGAGAATGACTGTATAGTTCCTATTCAAAACATTTCACATATTATAATTCTAGCATATTTCCTGCTCCGGAAGCAGTTCTGTGTAACAATCTATTATAGAGGACAGGACTTCAAGCAACAAATTTGATTAGCAACATATGGCTCAAAGTATAATAGTTTGGTTGAAAGATGGCCAAATGCAGTAGGATGGGAATAATTATTTTCTCAATGAACTGAGACCTAATCCACACATATGTTTCAAAACACATCTTTTTTTAACAGAACACCATCAACATTGCAAATAATTACTTATTTTCTATGAGGGCCCCATTTCATTCATTCACCAAAATTTTCATATATATTATTGGATATCAAAATTATCCTGTTAGTCTGATGTAACTAGCAAAGTCTATGTATTTTTTGGAAATGTAACCAACTTGTGAGTGAATGTCTAGCTTTTGAATTATCATTAGTTAGCTAATGAGAAATAACTGATTTAGCCAGTTTTTATAGTCATTCTGCCAATTCTTTATCGAGAAGAATACAAATTAAGACGTAAAAGACAGAAGCACAAGTTAAAATGATTTATAATAAAAAAAAAAGTCACACTTACTTCCTTACCTGAAATATTTTAGTCCCTGGGCTTCTTACTGAATTTGGTAGTGGTGAGATGGGTCTTTTAAAGAAATTAAGCAGTCTTCAGTGTTTTTATAGCATGGGTTACTACAGAAATTATACTTCTTTTACTTCTTGTCTTGAAGGATGAACAAAATAAACAAACTGAAAATACTACAATGAATGATAAATGATGAAATATTTACAGTACAAAAAACAGTGTAAAAAGGAAGACAAGTTTAAATATTGTTGTGTAAGAAAGTGATGAAAATAATACAAGAATGAGGATAAGTAAAATGATAGGCTGGAACATCTGGGAAGGTAAATGCAAAGACAAAGAGAAGAATTAATAATAATTTTAAAATTTACATCTATATCAACTCATCGAAGCATTCATTCAACTTCAGATAAAGCAGAACCCCCCTTATGCCTCTATTGACCAGATCTGAAAGCCTGTTATTATACACAGTGCATTCTCTCGCTCTGATGTCTCTTTTGTTCCCAAGGGCACAGGTGAAAAACCACATGCTCACAGTACCCAAAAAAGCTTCAACGAGGAAACCAGAAACCAATGTTTTGATACGATCAATAGAAGGAATAAGCCTCAACATTTAAACAATTCAACAAGTTTTATCATAAGACTATTTTTTTTTCTTTCCAGAGCAAAGCAGAGCAACATGCAAGATCAATAAGCAAGAGGGTTGCGATGTTCCTAGTTGTGACTAACAGGCAGTTAAATGAATGTCATGCTGCTGTGTATAAAGTGGTTTTTTAATTTAAACCTCTGGCGTGTCTTAAAAGCCATGCATGCTGTTGTGCTTCCACGGGTTCTCCCATGGATACGGGATACCAGCTCAATGATCTCTTAGGTGGTTCACTCTGACAAAATGCGTTGGTCTTTGGCCACCATACCTGGCTAGAGCAGCTCAGTCCAATGCATCAAGTGTGCCTCTACAATTTAGGATGAAGGAAAAATGCTGGTTTCCCCTGTTCGGGAATAGTTATTACTATTTCTCTGAATTAGTGTGGCCTTGAAGTTAAAAAATAACACTCCTTCCCCAGTCCTGAGATTCTCCACTGCAGAGCCGACAGTGGTATTTTCTAGAACTAATGATTATGTCACCTCAACCTGTAAAGCAACAGCTTCCATGTATGCCGTTTGGTCGGGCTCTAGACACAGTATCAGCTCTTTCCTCCGCCGGCTTCTGTATTTAACAGTACTTACGCATCAACTTAGTGACTTTAAAAAATATATATTTTAAACTCAATTTGAATCTTGGCTTGGAAATTTGCAAACCAACAACTGAAGATTCCTTATTAGGGATCTTCTTGCAGCTCGTTCTATTAGAATCGGTGGAATACTATTGTAAATGTTGACCTTTAATAATGAATAATAATCATTATTATTATAAACCTAAAAAACCCTTTCTTTAATCTTTACACAAAAACGGGGGGGGGGGGGGCAGGAATAAAGTTTCCCTTTAAAAATCACAGAGGGGAAACAGTGACTGGGAATGCGGCGACGAAAACCTCAGGCCTGAAGAAGGACAGTGTGAAAGAACAGGTGCGCCCAGTGGAGCCCAGCGCCGGGACTTCTCTAAAGCGGGGCGTGGGGGTCGGGGGGTTCCTCGGCACCACGGTCGTCCGCGGACTTGGGCACCTCCAGGCGGTCGATGAACGTCTGCAGCTCCTTGCGGAAGGCCTTCATCTGCGCGTTGATGCGGTAGAGCAGCTCGTGCTCCCGGATGCGGCTGCCGTCGTCCTCCTCGTCCATCAGTCCGAACAGGTCCCCGTTGGCCACGTAGATGCGCGCCTCGGTGATGATGGTGCTCGTGTCGGCGATGAGCCGGTCGATGGTCTTGCCCAGGCGCTCGGCCTCCGAGCGGATGTCCTTCATCTGCTGCCGGTCGGAGAAGCTCTTGGGCCAGGGCCCGGGCGCGGGGTAGAAG